TTGAGCCACTCTACGACGTATTGAATATATGATTTAAACACTGAAGTGTGATGCACTTAGTGACAATTCAAGATAACACAGTAAATATTTGGCAAGATAGTTTGGAGTAATTTCTTTTCTTGTAGGTAGTTTGTATCTTCAACAGTCTTAGTAATGAGTTAGAGGAAACGAGAGTGGCTGTGGAAAGATATCAAACTAAAAGAATGGTAATTACAGTGCCGGAGATTATATCCCAAGTGATATTAAACATAAAATCTTCACATAGACACAAGTAGGGCGACGCGCCATTCTTGGGATTCCTAGTGGTCTGTCACGACTGCTCAGATGCTGGTTTAATCTCTCTTCGTTTTAAAACATTTCTTTGGTGAAGAGACATGAAATTTTAAATTAAGAAATGTATATATGGTATGAAGAAACAAAGGATACCGTCTGTATTATGGGAGATAGCAAGAGATGTTTACGAGAAGTTTCATGAAAGAAGCATTGTTGAGCGTACATAAAACATAATGAACTTTTGAATATCGACAATAATTACAACTGCATATACTCCGTCGCTGATTCTAGAGTATCTTGTAACATTTGGTATGTTGATATGTGTGTGGTTATACATAAAGATTTTACGGACAAAAAAGGTTGGGTTACCGTGCTCAAAGGCCCGTTCGTCACTGTCGGATTTTTTCTGGTTGTAAAACTGTGAGAAAACGTCGCTCTACATATCAGGTTCTTGACACATGGCGAGTAGTTTTTTAAAGTGTTTCATTGTATTTTTGTGTACGCATATACACACAATGACACAGGCACGGACATACACAAACACTCACACACACACACATACACACACGCCCGCGCGCGTACGCACGCATATATATATATATATATATATATATATATATATATATATATATATATATATATACATATATATATATATATATATATATGTATATATATGTATAATTATTTATATATTTGCCCATCAATATAACAAATTATTTATGCATACACACATGCATTCATATAATTATATACGCACACGCACACACTCACACATAACCTATATTCATGGTTGAGTGTGTAGGTATGTGTATGTGCGTGCGTGCGCGCTTTTGTTTGCATGTGCATGTGTGTGCGCATTTGTGTGCACATTTGTGTGTGTGCATGCGTGTGCGTTCGCACCCAATGCAATCTACTTCCCAGGAAAGCGCTAACATCCCTTTCCCAGCGAACTGAACTCTCACGAACCCGATCGCATATACAGCATCTGATCTCACGACGCGTCTCGAGTGTTCTTCACGTACCTTTAGGTCTTCCTTCACATCATTCCTAGTTATCACAGGGAGAAAAATATGACGAGGGCGATTACCACGTAGACAACGAGAGTGAAACTCATGATGAGACACTGGCGGCATTCCATCTTGCAAGGAGGCGGTCGAGGAACAGAGGAACTGTAGACGACCACTCTGCCCTCGCGCGTTTGTTTCTTCCTACTCACCGCACAGCCACACAGCTTTGTTTACTTTACGCTGCAAATCAAACAAATAGATATGTGTCAAGATTCTCCTGCCATTCTCGGAATCAGAAGCAGTGTTCATTCACAAGCTTAGGGGAGAAACGCGAAAACGAATGTACACTACTGTACGCTTTGACCTTACAACACCAACTATCCTCTACGCATGCTCAGCCAGGGATTCGGCGAGTGAGGGTTAAATTGCGTTGCCTCTTAGCTAGAGTCTGTTCATTCTAGTGTCATGAACAGAAAGCACAGCTGCGACTGGTGGATGCACGCCAGCTAGAATGCACGTTGGCGAACTAATCCATTTCGGTTGTTTGTTTGAGAAAGGAACTCTTGGTGGGTTCGAAACGTTACGATTCAGTGTCATTTCTTATTTTGCTGTGTTTCCCTTTTATCTTTATGAACACATTACTATTTGTGTTTAGGTTTACATATGCATTAATGCAATTTATATATTTATATCTATTTATCTATATCTATATTCATATTTATCTATCTATCTATCTACACACACACACACATACATATATATGTACACCTACATTATGTGCATATACAGCATCCGATCTCACGACCTCACTCGATGTTCTTTACGTACCCTTAGGTCTTTTTCCTTCACACGAGTCCTAGGTATGACATGGCGAAAAATACGATGACGCCGAGTACGACGCAGCCACCGAAAGTGCCACAGAGGATGAGCCACTTCCGGCGTTCCATCTTGTAAGCTGACGGTCAAGGAGCGAAGGACTTGTAGACCACTCTATCCTCGCGCGTTTTAGTGTCGATTTACTCCACTAACAAAACATAACTTTATATAATGTACTCTGCGAATCAATCAGATAAATGTCAAGATTGTCTTGATCTTCTCTAAATCAAATGTGATGTTCATTCACGTGACCAGCGGAGAACCGTGTGAACACCACTGAACGCTTCGACCTAACAACACTAACTAGCCCTTAGGCATACTCAGTTATGAATTCAATGGGTGAGTGTTAAATTGCGCTGCCGCTCAGCTGTAGTCGTGGCACTTTAGTCTTTATGAGCGAGGGGACTGAATACTTGGCTGGGATTGGTGGACGCGAACTAGCTAGGATGCGCGTAGACTCGGGGGCCCACTTCGAGTAACAACAGTGACAGACTTTCTCAGAAACTTGACGTTACAGAGTTCCAACGATGATTTTGATAATGATAATAATTTTGATAACGATCGTGATATGATCGTTGCCAGAATCATAATCAGTGTCGTGGTTATTATTATCATCATCGCAATTGTAATTAAACTGTAATAACAACAATGATAATACCAATAATAATGCAAATGATTAATGATAATGATTATGCTTATGATTTTATTATTATTATTGTTGCTGTTGTTATTATAATTATATTACATTTTTACTGTTATACTTATTATATCTTATTTTTATAAACATTATAATTATTATTATTAATAGTACTGTTTTATTAGTTATTATTATTATCGTTATTGTAATGATTACTCCGCGCATTATCAATATAACTATAATGATCCTCAACATCATTAGCATTTTTTCACAATCAATATTACCATTCTCATAGCTAAAAACTATACTGTTATTTTTAGTACTACGACGACAACGACGACGATAATGATGATGATGATAATGATCATAATGATTATGATGATGACGATGACGATAACGATAATGCTGATGAAGATGATGGTGATGATGATAATAACGATGATGGTTATCATCATCATCAGTGCCTTTATTACCAATGTTACTTTTGTCATAAATATTAATAGCAAGTCTTATTTTATCTTTAAATCTTGCGTTGGAAGTCCGTCCTACACATAGCCTTACGTACTCCTTAACTACCCCCTTACCTACTTCCATTGCCACAGTAAAAAGCCGAAGGTGGGTTATAATGTGGCTAATTCTTAGTGCATGTTTTTTAGTCATACCATACAGTAAGGTACCTTGAAATGCAAATACACTGCTTTTGATGAAGTTAATAAGAAAGAATAAGTTAGGGGAGAATGGACAAAATGTATTTCTCTAAATAAAACAAAATGTAACACGAACAAATCTGCACTGTAAAATAAAAACATCTCATATGATAATAGCATGGACGATTGTATCTGCTTTACATTAACATGAAGTGCTTGTAAAATCACGCGAATGCTAAGGCACATGATTATAATAAATCATGAACTATGGAAAGAATGAATAACAAAAGCTTCTATCCACTTAAGGCTTCACAGTCTATCTATAACTCTCCATGACTAAATCTCTGCCGCTCATTTATATCAAATAATATCGCCGATCCTTCCGATAAGAAAAAAAGGTCTATTAACCTCTCTATTAGGTCGAAATGATCTTACCATTTGACAGTAGATTACATGGCCGACCATCTCCACTCGTTCTCAAGTATGCTTTGACCCGTTTTAAAACAAAAGAAGTGTTCACCGCTAGATGTAGTGATTGAAATAGTTAACAATATGCATAACATATTCAGGATTTGAAAAAAAAGGGAACGGGTAATCTGTTTAAATATCTTTACATGTCAAATATGCTATACTTGCTTAGTTTCAAGATACTTTTTGCTATATGAACTTAAGAAATAGACAGAACACAAGTTAAAGTTTCTCCATCTATGAACGGTTCGACTGATGTTTTAATATACTTGTCTGAACTCTAAACTGTAATGACTTTTTTCTAAAGGTGCTGTTTGGTAAATATTTTAAAGTGCTTGATATCCTATGACTCTTGCTTCAAGCTGACCCCACATTTGTATTTCCGTATGGTATTTATTCATTCACTGTTATTCTTATCTTACTGTATCATCACCATCATATCATTAACATCATTACCATTTATTTTAGTAAACTCATTTATTTAATTATTCAGCTGGTCACATCTTTATCTTATCTCGTTTTTAGCAAAATCTTGTTTGTTGCTTTAATTAGATGTTCAACCCTAACAGTAGATATCGCATGAATGACTTCATACCAAATGTGAATTTTGTGAATACTTTTGTACCAATAAAACCACCTTTCTAATATTTCCACTCCACTCTCTCTTTGGGCATGAACAAAAAGCTCCTGTCGTGTTACTAGTTGATAAGAACTAATGTGTTTACATTTGAAAAGGAATCTGGAAACTTGTCAAGGCAGTTGGTGTAATTGATAACCACGAGATTCATTCCATGAGTGTAGCAGATCAAATTGTGGCACGGGGATTTATTGGCAATGCGAGGCTAGACTTCTGCGGCCGCCCACTGACGGCACTTGCTCCATTGGAACACTGCGCTATCCAGTCTAACAGATCTAGCCCTAGTTTTATACGAAGGTTGCAATAGTTTCTGTTCTTTTCTCCAAATAATCTGGTATAGATGTCGAAAGGTTGAATTATTTTCTTTTCATTTCGACCGCTCAAAGGTGGTGTACAGTGCTATTCCTTCTAGTATACGATAGCCAACTTTAATGGGATGGCTGTCGTAATGTACAATATAGCATAGTGAGTGTAAACTATACATTTCTGATCTCTATTGCTGTATATTGTATCCTATAGCGATGGTGGTTGATATGAAATGCTCCTAGGACAGTCCTGTAATCTTTTTCAACCATTTTCTTTACAATAGGCCGTTGTATACAATGCTGTGGATAACAGAAACGCACACTGCACTATATTCATCATTTCTACACTTTGAAGAACTGTACAAGGCATACCGTGAACATAATCTCACATTCCACTATACACTGTATTGGCCTACTATAACGTACAGGTCTATTTTTTGTTTTACTATCATATATACCATACACTAAACTCACTGTGCAGGATATTACGGTCAACAAAAGATAATGCTGCCAACGAGAGTATCCATTACTTTTTAAAAACTATTTAAACTATACAATTAACCGTATATGAATGTTATTTAGCATACTCTACCATATGCAGCACCAACATTCTTACAGTTTTTCACTTTATTAAATATTCTGAAACGTTTATTGTTTTTTTTTTCTTTTTTTCCATTCTAGCCCAGAATATACCCGGGGTTATTTTAGGCTAGGCTGTTTTATATCCCCGTGTATAAAATGGACTAGGCCAGAATATACCCCTTCCCCTTTGCTTGCAACATGTGTATTACTATATCGCCAGAGGATAATGGCTGGTGTTAATGGCGATTATACAGTAATCTCACAACTGCAGATATTCCTTGTACATTGAATTCTACAGACTACCATATTAAACTCAAAATCAAAATATTTGCTATGATTATAAGGGTCATTATAATCATAATGATAATCCTTCTTATCATTATTATTATTAAGAAAGTTTATTTTTTTTCTAATCAGTAATAAGTGAGTATTCCAAAGCACACTGGAGTGCTAAAAAATGAATTGCAAATTGTCATGTATTTGCGGTTCAGTAAAGCAGGAAGTTGAATGCCTTTGCTTATATTGTTTTTTTTTTTCATGTCCGTAGAAAGATGTCACGGGGCTGTTCATTCATCCAGAAATAACAATGTAAGTCAAGACGTGCAACTTGGCTGCCTTAATGAATCCCACAAATGCATGCCTTACATTTGCAAAACATTTCTGAACACTTCACTGTGGTTTTGAATGTTTGAATGTTCATTTGTTACTGACCAGAATGAAAGTTTTCTTAATTAGCAATACTGATAATTATAGTAACAGTAGTGCTTTTGTTTTGAAATGAGCATACAGTACATGGTAACGATATTGCTGGTCCTACTACGATTACTACTAATGGTTATTATTATGATTATAACAATTATTATATTTAATGATGATGATGATGGTGGTGTAGATGGTGATGATGATAGTGATGATAATGGTGATGGCGATAAGGATAACGATAATGATGATGATGAAATAGCATAGCCTAAAATAACTCACAGGGTATACTCTGTGCGGGGGTATAGTCTGGTATGTTACACCAGCTGCTTCACAAACATGATAATTTCCGTCCGTCAGTAGCTCACTGTCTAGTCATCTTAGAGATTACGCTTGAAGAAATATGCATAATAGTCATTAAGAGTTCCGGCCTATATCGCTTATATACATTTTACTGAATTCAAATAAAGGAAAACCACAGGGACCCAACGAGAGAGACGAGGGGGGGGGGAGGGGTATGATCACTGACACTACTTTTACTATCCATGTATTGATTAACATGTAACCCTTATTTACTCATGTAAACACACATTCATACATTTTTTACTGAACTAAAACTGATTTTGCTAAGTTATATTAATCAAACCTTCCACATCCTATAAATTCATATACTCACACTACATACAGTTACCATGAGATACTTATATGGCAACAGGAAAATATCAGTTGAACATGAGAGACTGCACTGATATCTTACAGCCTTGGGATAAACAGACCCCAAGAAGTCTATAAAAGTAAGAATTCTTGCGGCTGAACCAAGGGTACTTTTGTTAGTAAATACGAATGTAGGAGTAATATTTAAAACATAATGCAGAAGAAGGATAGCACTCACTACATAAATGATCATCTTAAATCAGCTTTACCAGTCACTTACGAGTTACAAGGACCGTCCAAACATATCAGAGCATTTGGACAGTTTTGCCAACAGACTTCGACGAAGCCTGTTTCTTGCATTATTTTAAGTTTCTTATAACCAAGAAAATATCATAAAGTATACCGTCTTCTGTGCGCGTCACTCAAGGATCAAATTTTAATGTACAACATCGACCAATATTAATCCTGCACATGCGCAGAACGTACTATTTCACTCCACCAATTATATATTGATATATAATGGCGTCATCAACTCCAGTCGAGTTGCCATTAATATTTATTATAAGCAATAACGAAAGAAATTCTGACACTTTCATGTCAAAGATGTTAGTGTAGATTTATCAATATATATTATATGTGGGATATTCATACTCCAGTGAAAAGAAAAACGAAAAG